ATATATATTCTCGTAAGAAAAGAAACAATTAGATACGCGTGTCTCTTGCGGCGTTTTTCTAACAATTAAAATAAAAAAAATGAGAAAATAATTCCTACGAAAAGTCGCGAAACAAGCGATTGCACAAGAATGTCAAGGAGAAAATCCATGCATCACCAATGTATTTGTAGAGATGATACAAAAAGGGGTTGTGTCGTAAAAATCTCAATCAGCGATTCGGAATGTGCGGAGGCGCGAATACGAGGGCGCGGGTGTTGCGTTCCTTGTATACCGTTCCCACTGCTTTTGATCTATTTTCGCGCGAAGATGTAAAACGCGTATTGTGGCAGAAAATAAACTCGCGTCAAGAATCATTGCGACGAGAAGAGAAAGAAGATAATATTTCGCACTTTCTTTGTACATTCATCGTCGTAATTCTGTGATGACAGATGCACAAATTTTTAAACAGCCAAAAAAAAAAAAAAAAATCACGATTTTGCACTAGCGTAACGTATCAGCGATCGATACACATAGCATAGTTATCGATCGACCGCAATACGGAAGAATGGTGTGGAAGTGAAGATATCGAAAGGAGCGAAGTTTTTGATCGACGCTCGACGACGAAAGGGGGAAAAAAAAAAACGATCTCGGATAGGAAAGAGGAAACGATCGAAAGAGTGGCAGTGCTTAAACGCATCTCGAACCTGATGACATTTGCAGAAGCAGGACTACTTCCCGTGGGAAAAAGTGCCGTTTGTTCCACGACCATCCTTGGTACCGGATCCGTTCACCGTTTGGGGACGCAAGAAACAGGATCCGAAGAAGGAATTTTATCAGTATGTTACCCTGAAGGATAAGGAGGGTGTTGTGCGTGGCAAGAATCCCGCGAAAGAAGACCATGCTCGTCAGCTGGTGGATGGAGGCGCAGTGTCGAAGGTTAATCTGGATGCTGCTACTGAATTGGCGACTAAGGGTCACGTTTTCGAAAAAGGAGTGCTTTCCAGACCAGCGACTACCAAAAGACACGTTACGTCTCCTACTCATAGTAATCACACCAAAATATTGATGGCACTGCAAACGCCTTCTTGGTACCGATTTTAACAACGGAACTCCTGGAACAATCGATCGAAAACAATAATATCGTAAAAAGATAATTTACGAACTTGACATGACTGATATTTCGTTTGAATATTTTGAATATATCAACTTAAGCCTAATTAGATAATTGTAGTAATAGAGCACCTGTCGAACAATTGCGCGTAGAAATATGTCTGCATACAATCTACAGATTGTCTTTTTACTTCAATAGGAAGCAAAATGCAGATCAATGATTGAGCCGTATTTGCAGAACAAAGTGATTAACTTTGATACTTAAAAATAAATTTCCTTCATAATTAAGTTTGATATCATTAAATGAGAAAAATTCTTTTGACCGTAAATTAACAAATAATTTATTTTGGAGACCAATGTGATTATTTCAGGGATACACGACATATGTATTTAGTATGACGTTAGATAAAAGCTACGCCTGTGAAGATACATCCTATAAAGTTTATTTGAGTTTAGTTTAAATTTTAGATAGACATCTTTAAAAAGAATGAATATACTATTCTGTCAATTCTTCTGCTTTTCGTTTGATGACTCGTATTTTTGTATTTTTCTCTTCTACTTGCAAATTGTTCGTGAACAACGTATTATGTGTAGACATATGTTTGTCAGCATTGTACTAAGTTTTATTACTACAATTAGTTCAGTGGTGAATAGTAAGACAATTGGTTTTCGTTGGTTTAGAAATCTTTTTACCCTTCAAATAAAAAGATCGAATACCATATTACATATTATATTTACCGATTTGTCAAGGTATTTTATTTCGGCATTCCCTCAGAGTGACATTCTCAAGAAAAATTCGAATTTTATAATAATGTATCTAGTCATAGCTCTGTAGTACTCGATTCTCAATTTCTTTCATCTTATGGTAATCCCAATGTTTTTGTTATCTTTTTTTTTTAACAAATACGAATACAGATACACACAGATGTAATTTTCCAATGAACAATTATGAAAACTATGAATAGTTGCTTTATATATATATATATATATCATTCGTTTACTTTCCATTTCCTTTGTACGCACATCAACAAATAAAGTGCTTTGATTCCGAAAAGCATGTTTGCTGGATTCATTCCCAAGATACGTTTATTTAAACGGATTGGGGAATTTGAGTTGAACGATATCCTGTTTCTATAATAATCACGCCCGAGCCGTATCGTTTGTGAAAAAGAAAATATCGCTCAGGATATTTTCTTCGCGAGTCTTAGCTACAGTATTATCGATACTTGTATCACGAATACATCAGTTTATGCAGATAAGAGGGGAAATAAGAAATTTTGAATTAAACTGAATGATCAATGTGGTTGAATAAAGTCAAAA